AATCTATCCTGAAGTACAATGCTATTAGTGATATGATAATATCTGTATGTCTTCAAGGAAGAGCAGCTAATATGGCTATTTTTCAAATTTATTCATAAACTACTTATGCCAAAGGTAAAAAAATTTAAGACTTTTACCAACTTCTGCAGTCTGAAATTGATCAAACATACAGAAGATTCATGGATAATTACTTGTGATTGGAATGTGAAGGCTGGAAACAAAGAAGAAAGATAAGTAGCCTGAAAATATGGCCTTGGCTATAGACATGATGGTGGCATTGCATGAGAGAATTTTGCAACACCAATGATTTATTCATTGTAAATACCATTTTTCAACAATATAAATGGTGACTGTACATGTGAACCTCACCATATGGAATGCAAAGGAGTCTAATCAACTGTATCTGTGGAAAAATACTGGAGAAGTTCAATTATTAGTCAAAATAAGGCCAGGTGCCAACTATGGAACAGACCATCAAATGCTCATATGCAAGTTCAAGCTGAAGCTGAAGAAAATTAAAACAAGTCCCTCAGAACCAAAATATGACCCTGAGTATATCACACCTGAGTTTAGAGACCATCTCAAGAACATATTTGACACAATGAACACTAATCACTGAAGAATAGATGAGTTGTGGGAAGATATTAAGTATATCATACATTAAGAAAGCAAAAGGTCAAGAAAAAGGAAAGAAAGAAAAAATCAAAACTTTCTTGAATGTAGAATAAAGTGAAATGATGAAGTAAAAGAGCTGAACAGAAGATCTCAAAGGGCATCATGAGAAGACAAAGTAAAGTATTATAACGAAATGTGCAAAGACCTGGAGTTAGGAAACCAAAAGGGAAGAATATGCTTGGCATTTCTCAAGCTGAAAGAACTGAAGAAGAAAAGGATTCTATAGGTAAAATATTGAATGACACAAGAAGCTAAAAGAAGATGGAAGGAATGCACAGAGTCACTGTATGAAAAAGAACTGAGCAATATTCAACATTCAACATTCAGGAGGTAGCATATGATGAAGAATCAGCGGTCATGAAGGAAAAAGTCTGAGCTGCACTGAAGGAATTGGTGAAAAACAAGTCTCCATGAGTGGTCAGAATACCAATTAAAAAGTTTCAACAGACAGATGTAGTGCTGGAGGTGCTCATTCATCTAAGTCAAGAAGTTTGGAAGATAGCTACCTGGCCAACTGACTGGCAGAGATCTGTATTTGTGCTCATTCCAAAGAAAGGTGATCCAAGAGGGGGGAGAAAAAAATAAAAAAAACCTCACTGCCAAGCTCGATTCTGGCTCACAGCAATCTCCATTGGGTCTCCAAGGCTGTAAATCTTTACAGAAGCAAACTGCCTCATCTTTCTTCCGTGGAGCAGCTGGTGGGTTGATATCACTGACCTTCTGGCTAGCAGCCACATAACTTAACCACTACACCATCAGAGCTCCACAGGTGACCCAAGAGAATGTGGAAATTATTGAACAATATCATTAGTATCACCTGCAAGTAAAATTTTGCTGAAGATAACTCAAAAATGGTTGCAGCAGTATGCTGACAGGATACAACCACAAATTCAAGCTGAATTCAGACGAGGGCATGGAACTTGGGATATCACTGCTAATATCAGAGGGATCGTCTCTGAAAGCAAAGAACACCAGAAAGATGTTTATTTGTGATTTATTGACCATGCAAAGGCATTCGACTGCATGGATCATAACAAATTATGGATAGCATTGCCATGAATGGCAATTCTTTTCCTCATGCAGAAACCGTACATAGACCAAGGGAAGTCATTCAAACAGAACAAGGGGATATTGTATGATTTAAAACCAGAGAAGGTGTGCATTCAATCTATATTAAGAAGAATACTTCTGAATATACTAAGAAGCTGGACTACATGAAGAATAACAGAATCAAGACTGAAGCAAGAGTCATCAACAACCTGCAAGAAGCAGATGACACAATCTTGCTTCGTGAAAGTTAAGAGGACTTGAAGTACTTTCTGATGAAGATCAAAGACTACAGCCTTCAATGTGAATTACACCTCTTACAAAAAGAAAATAAAAATCCTCACAACAGGACCAATAAACAGCAATATGATAAACGAAGAAAAGACTGACGTCAAGGATTTCATTTCACTAGATCTGCAATCAACGCCCATGGAAATAGCAGTCAAGAAACCAAACAACATATTGCATTGTGCAAATCTGGTGCAAAAGACCTCTTTAAAGTGTGAAAAAGCTAAGATGTCACTTTGAATACTACACTGTACCTTACCCAAGCCATGGTACTTTCAATAGCCTCATACGCATGCTAAAGGTAGACAATAAATAAGGAAGGCCAAAGAAGCATTGATGCCTTTGAATTATGGTGTTCGTGAAGAATTTTGAATATACCATGGACTGTCGAAAGACTGCACAAACTTTTCTTGGGAGAAGTACAGAAAGAATGTTCCTTAGAACCAAGCACAGCAAGACTTTGGCTAAAATACTCTGGATGTATTATCAGGAGGGACCAGTCTCTGGAGAAGAACATCATGCTTGGATAAGTAGCAGGTCAACGAAAAAGAGGAAGACCTTCAATGAGATGGATTCACACAGTGGCTAAAACAATGGGCTCAAATTAGCAATGACTGTGGACGATGCAGGACCAGTCTGTGTTTCATTCTGTTGTACACAGTGTCACTATGAATCAGAACTGATTTGGCAGCACCTAACAGCATGCAATAGGATTATCAGTACATTTAAACTGAGGTTTATAAATTATTATACATTGCCAATGTGTTTGATAATAGAGACTTTTTGGTGAGAAGTTATTAAAACCTCAAAAAATAAAGTAAAGCTAAGGCTGACAGTTGTAAGAGGTGTTCAATTACTTACTAAATGAATATTGGAAAAGTAAACACTAATCTTATTGATGGGAGACAGCAAAGGAAGTGAGATGATACATGGGTACTATTTTCTTTTTATGGAGCTCTGGTGGTGTAGTGGTTAAGGCATCTGGCTACTAACTAAAAGGTTTGGTGGTTCAAACTTACCAGCTGCTCCGTGGGAGAAAGATGGGGCAGTCTGCTTCTGTAAAGAATTAAAGCCTTGGAAACCCAATGGGGGTCGCTATGAGTAGGAATTGACTCAATGGAAATGAGGTATTTTTTCTATTGTTGTTATTTTATTTTTCCAAAGACCAAACCAAATTCTGCCGTCAAGTCAGCTCCGACTCACAGTGACCCCTCCTTGGGTTTCCAAGGCAGTGGTCACTTTAGAAGTAGATTGCCCAACCTTCCTTCTGAGGAGTGGCTGGGGAGTTTCAACCACCAGCCTTCTGGTTAGCAGTCAAATGCCATAGGTACTACACCACCAGAGCTCCCATTTTTTTTTAGTAAACATTAATTAAAACACAGCTAGTTGTATTGAAAATGAGGTCACTAATTTCATGTGCAGAAAAAGTATTATTTCTGTGGGAAAGATTCAAACCAAAAAAACCAAACTCACAGCCATCAAGTCAGATCCAACTCATAGCGACCTCTCCTTGGATTAGAGATAGATTGCCCAACCTTCCTTCCAAGGAGTGGCTGGTGGGTTTGAACCTTCAGCCTTCTGGTTAGCAGTCAAATGCCTTAGGCACCACACCACCAGAATGGTAAAGATTAGTTGACAATACTTATTTTCTAATGGGAAGATTTATTTCACTCATGGCAGTGAGTAAGATGAAAAAAACTACAAAATGAAAACTTAGATATATAGAGAGAATAATTTACTAACAGTAAGAATTACTGAAATTTTTAAGAAGAAACTAATACTAGTTTTCTTCCTAAAATTTTCAGATTGTCAATATCCACAGGATCCCTACTTGCCAAAATCCACTGACAGGTCTGCAGAAGTCTTTGTTTACTATTGGTATAAGGGAAAAAAAAATTATGAATTACAAATATTAACACTAAATATTTGCCCTAAATGAACAACTGGCTAGTTTAAAAACTTATCTGTGTCCAAATAAAGTGAACTTAACTCCTAAGATTCTTTCAATTCTAATTCTTTAATGTAGAATACTGAAGGTAGTATAATGCTTGTTTATTATGAGAAGAGAAAAAAAGAATAAAAATTTTAACTAAGGAGGTGATGAGATTTGAAAACTGTAATAACTCTCTGTCAAAGATAGTTCAGATTTTCTGACTTTTTCCAAAACTAAAAAAAGCTCAGGCACAACTGTTCCTTTAGTCCCTATTCTTTATAATCCCTAAACATTCCTTTATGTAATTTACAGTTAAAAGGCTCAACAGATAAGCATTTTATAGGTAAAAATATCTAATATGTCCTATGATAAAACACAAAATTTTACAAAAATTTGGGATAATGACATTTAAAGCATGATTTATCAGATTAACACTATAGAAGATAATTCAAATATGATTGAAATGCCGAGCAAAATCCAACCTGACATCATAAGTCAAGTCAAAATAATTTGCTAGTGTATCATTTTCTTCTGTCAGCTATGTATGCTGTGTATGTATCATTATCAGGGAGGAGTTAAGCAGACATGGAGTTCTAAAACAAGATATTAACTAAATTTTGAGTATTTAACAAAAAGAATCTAGAACTCTCCTACATAAGTTTAATAAATCATCACGGTTTATTTAACAAGGTTTTTCTATATCAGACTGTGTTT